CTGTCTGTGCAGTCAGTAGTCAGTATGTCCACTTTTCGGATATTGAACAGTGACAGAAATTGTACATGTTTTGAAAATCCTATCGACCTACGACCATGGTCAACCCTACCGCTGGTACTTTTTTTGAAATTTTTACGACCCCTCCCCCCACTTCACAGGCGATTCGATACGACCCCCACCCCTCCTGTACAGGGGTGGCCAAAAAAAAGACACTTTGCCCATGGCGCACATCATCGAACTTTTCGTCGCACAGGGAGCCGATGTTAATGAAAGTTTTACGGCGGAATATTCCTTAGGTGTTCCCCGTAAACAGAAGCAGGCCCTCCTTCACTGCCCCCGCCGTCTTCAGAATATGACGTCATCTGCCGCCACCGTCGAGCTCAACGAGGCTTACCGTAATCGCTCCGGCCAAAGGATTAACTGTTGAATAGCTTCCCAGAGACATTAGCTGTGACTATGCAAAACCGCTTTTGACCAGCGTTTCAGGGACGTCGTAATGGTCTATGGTACCTCGACGACCTCGTTGAGCTCGTACCGTGAACCATGTTTCCGTGGGAAAATCTTCTGATGTCGTCGGTGTAGAAGGCTGTCATGTAATTTTAGATAGATTAGAATGTGCTCTTTAATACTGAAGTTGGGGCAGTCGATTTGATTTTAGCAAAGTGTGATTAATGCTGTCTGAAATGTGGAGTGAAGTGTCTCTTTTTTTGGCCACCCCTGTATTACTTGTGTAAAGACAATGTATGGCACCAATTTTTCATTAAAATCTTTGATATTGATTTCAATGAACTTAGAATGCTACTGAATTCTTTTCCTTTTGGAAAGAATTCAAATACTTTAATTAAACACAGCACTTTTTCCTTCTTGGATAAGAATCCAAATAACTAAATAAAACACTGCTCTTCTTTGGTTCCAACCCAACACCTACTCTAGCCAGAGGATGATCTTAGAGGTCGAAGCAGACCTCAATCAAAAGCCCAATGGTCGGATGTGGTTCCGAACCTTATGACCTCTTGACGGTGTCATACAAAACAGTTGCCTACTGATAATGATACGCAAACATAACCATCACATCGCCAGGGGGGGGGGACCCCCTGCTTCTGAGCTTAGGCGAGGAGCAAGGCGTCCATGCCGGCGCTATACTCACAAGTATCATAAGGTTACTGTTGTTGCGACTCAAAACAAGCGTCAAAGAAGCTATCGAAAAGGTAGAACTAGCCGAGAACTACTTAACATGAGTAATACAATGCGATTCCTCGCCTCACTCGCCCACGGAAGAAAGTCGATGGATTATGATACACGGCTACTTCAGGAACGCTAGGCTTAGTGGAGCCATGGAGCAAGCAAGTTCAGAAACACTTCCAGAGGCTCTTCATGAGTAAACAGAGCTCGTGGTAAAGAGGTTCTTCCCGGAAATATTGACCTCTATCTCACCCATAAATCTCTAGTATGAGACCCATCGTTCACGATAAGAACGAAACTAATAGAAATGCATTTGATTTGCTGGACAATGGAAAAACCGGAAAGTGTGCTACGCCTTCACATTTCCGCTGGATCTCTTTTACAAATGCTGGCGGTAGGAACGGTACTACGTGGTTCACGGAGCCTGTCACACACTGCTGCTAAAGCCTGATTTCTTAGTCGATCGTGTTGTCCTATTCGAACATCAAGCGCTTGTCTACGATCTTTTGGTGGGTGTCCTGATACGAGGCCTCGGAACACACGCGCGCAGTTGCTTTCCATGCTGCCCTCCGCTTCGGCGCCGTGCAATCTACCTTCGAATGTCCATAGTGGTTTGTGTGATATTCGTAAGTTTATCTTTGGAATTTGAATTCTGGTGTGTGAAATTTCGTATGTTGTCTCTTGTGCTCATCATAACGGATCAATTTATATTGAGAAAGAAAGGAAGAGTTTTCTGGGAAGGTTTCTTTTAAAAGCTTCACTGACGGTACTCTTTATTTTTTTCTGGACGTCCAGTCAACTAGACTCCATTCGTTATTTTCTTTCATTTACGATCGATGGTACTCTGTACAACTTTAGCCCGCGGTTTGTATTTGAGCAGTAAGGTTTCCATGCAGGCTACAGGTGTCCCTTGCTCTTGCCCGGGACAGGGGGCAATCTTCGATTCCCGCACCACGTATAAACGATAAAGAATTACAAGGCAGAGAAAAAATTGGTTTAACACAACCGCAAAACACATCTTGCTGTCTAAACTCGTCCACTGAGACGACGACACTGTTCTGTGAGTGGTCCTGCCGTTGGGAAGATCGATCCGATGAACACCTTGAAGAGGAGGATTTGTGCAACAGAGGATCCAGAAACTAGAAAAAAAACGGAAAAACCTTGTTGTTCTGGACAATATCAAAGCTGGTGATTGCTAAAGGGCATCCGTCTATTTCAACCTGAAAGATTCAACGTATACCTAATCAAACAGCTTCACAACAGGAAACATACTTCACACTGATCACGTCCGCGCCTCGACAGGAAACACAATGTGTACAGCGCCATGTCATATTCTGGCGACGTGCCAAGGGCTCGATCCGGATCGTTTCCAGGTCACCGTTCAGGCGTGATTTCCACCGAAGCCATAACGTTCTATAATACAGTAAATTTCGAATTATTATGAAAATATCATTCTAAATACCATGGAAATATTTATCATTCTGGGCTGGCGCCAGTTCCGAGTAAAGAAGTACCACATGCAGTACCATCTGTAAGGCACCATCTTGCAAAACATGCGCATTGATCATAGACGTTTGGCCCAACGGGAGGAAGTGTGGACACCTTTAAGTCGCCGTGTTTCACCAATAGGAGGCAAAGCCGGATATGAATCGGACTGACACTCAGCTTTACATTTTGCAAGCTCTATGGAAAGCCTCACCCCACGCTTGATTACAAATCCTTTGTAATCGAAATTTTCGGTTGCGTTCTTCTCAAGAGTGTAGAATCGCAAACCAATTGTGCAGACGTGATCTGCTCTGTTTTTCTCCTGAAAATGAAGGGAGTTTAACTTCAGATCATGATTTTATCCTGAAGAAGATTCTATTAGATTCACAGTGAGAGAGTTAGGGTAATACTTAGCGTGTAGGGTAGCTTGACCGAGAAGTTTAGGGTACACTTGAGCGCCTGTACTGATTTTCAGCGCATGTCACCAGCCGCTAGGCGCCATTACTCACGCGAATTACCAGCTGATGCACAACCTGTCTGAAGGGTTCGAAGTGCATATCCGGCCCTGAACGCGGTGCAAGTGTAAGGTGCTGTGTCGTCAAACAATGGGAGATCGCAATCAAGAGGACTGCTGAGAGCTCTTCAACATAAGGCCCTCCCTACAACTGATCAACAGTTCGTAGTCACACACGTGTACAATCATAAAGCGGGTGGGGTGCGCACATCAGGACGAGGGATTTCAACAACGAGGATAAGTGAGTGACAGGGCCGCCAGCAAAGACAGAGCTGATAGCGTTCGTCCTTTCCGGCACAGACAGGGGTACGGCACACACGGTATTAGTGTAGGGAGCAGAGCCACCCGTCGAGATGTCGAACGATATCAGACCCCCTCCCTCTCTTCATCTTGAAGGGTGGTCCCGGAACTCACCAACCACGTGCACAGTGGTTACAGCAAGCAGAATCTCTCTTCACACTAACACAAATGGTGCTTCGCAGTATTTGATTCGGTGAAATAGTTTGACACACTTACGCGTCCGCCCCAAAACTTGGCCTGCCAAGCTTGCGAGGAGAAGTAGTGCGTGGGGGGGGGGGGGGAGGAGGAGGCGGGAGGTGCGTGAAGGCATTGAGATGGAAGCGACGCTTAATATGGTTGAAGTAATGGCGAACGCATAGTTTCGTCCCGACACTTATTGATGATGTTCTGAAACCTCGCTAAAAGGCACGTTCCCGCTCTTCACAACCTCCCCCTATGCCATCCATAAATACGGCCCTCCTCGCGCTTCTCGAACGTGGTCAGCCTCAGTCAACCCCAGTTAATCCTCCCCTCCCAAAAATCGAAAATAAACTTCTCAATCAAATCTTCAAACAAATGGTATCCCTGCTATGGTGGTGATCGCAAGGCCAGTCCATCAGTGTAGGGGGCAACGATCTGTCTGCCTAAGTACTAGAAAGGACCAGTCCTTGTACTTTCCTCACCATAGTATAAAGCACCAGTACTTCAAAACACTACCTCTGAAATTCGTTGAAATTCATGGAATTATTCAGTAAATCTCCAAATTACCTCTCCCATGAAAACATGCTCAAAACCAGAAGTGTCGGCCTTGCCACGAGCACGTGAATAGTGCACAAACCAGAGTTGAGCGATCCAGTAACGGAATACAATAGGGACTCGTAGCGAATGGGTGTCCTAAACAGGTCATGGCTTACGTGCGAAATCTCCACAACGAAATTTAAGCATAGATGCACCTTTTCTATGAAGAAACTCGTAGAGCATTTTCCAGGGCTTTGATTGGAGTACCGTAGTGAGAAACGTGGACGTTTCACTCTTCTCCTGAATAAGAAATGAATTCTTTTAAGGCAGCAGAGTGTGACAATACAAACGCTATCTTTTCCAGTGGAATGCTCATTCGTACTTTAGCTCATTTCAAGGCTGAATGGTTTGCTGGGAGCTAAGAACGATTTGCAACCCTCCCCTCTGTTTTTTTACTGAAAAATCGAATAAACCAGGAAAAACGAATCCAGGAAAAACCTAAAGGCACATCCCGCAATGGAACAGGTGTAGGCTATCGCGTCTAGGAACAACAAAGCTCTACCAATGATGCAAAGAAGGGGAAACCTGCTAAAAATTCTTAAAATCCCATTGCGCGCCAAAAGCATGGGCTGCTTCCTTTAGGAACGTTATTGGATAGTTCCATACCTTGAATGTATTTCACCGTATCGGAATAACGATTAACCATTCCAGTAAGAGAGCGGCACAAACCCTGTTCGTGCTATCGACGCGCCATGTTATTTCGAAGGGTTCTTGCATTTTTTGTGGCTTTTTTCACTTATGGACGAATTAGCCCAACTAAGTTCAATCCTCAAGAAAATATGCCTCGGAATATTCACATGCGCTTGTAATTGAAACTTGAAACAAACCTCAGCTACGGAGACACGTGGCTCAGGCGCTGCCAGTCTCACGATTGAAGTTATTGGAGAGAGCCAGAAACTGCTTATAGCTGGGCTTTTCAAGAAGACTTTCATCGACTTTGATGAAAAGACTGAAAAATTATGATTCTGGGAGCTTTTAGACGTTTTTATGCGCAAACAACTGAAATCTGAATGCAGGTCAAATTCCCGGGTGCTGGGTGGAACCTCGAGTTTCAGGTAATTGGCCCAGAATTTGGGCATGCAACTTGAAGTTCCACTCACTCATCGACTCAATCGTGAATTCCTTAGTGCCCAATCTCCACGTCTATACTGCTGTCGAAGAGGAAATGTTAGATAATATGATCAATTGGGTTCAAGGCGACAATGTCTTTGAGCTAATCGATCAGATTTGTTTGATTTATTTACTATTTTCTGATGTTTTTCTGCACTTGACTGAGACTATTGTAAAGATGACTTCAAAGACAGGGGGAGGAAATGAAAAGAAGAGTTACTTTGCTCATAGCGTACATCACGAGAGTTTTGTAGCGTTTTTTGGCCCCCGCTGTATACTCTGAGGACGACGGGCAGCAGGTGGGATTGTCGCGACAACTGAAGGCTTATCAACACATATAGCATAATATAATATAGATTCAGAGCATTGAAAAGCATACTTGACATAGAGGGTGGGCCAAAATGATGAGGACCGCGTGCGCGAGGCCATGTCCACTTTTTTCGAACGCGCTGTTCATTTTCATCTCCTTTTCTGTGCAATATGCAAAAGGGTACCTTGTCTTCTCCCTATTGAAACCAGAATATCATGCAGATCTCAGAACTAGTGGAATAGCACATCAACCTTAAAGGAGGATTTCACGATTAGAATGAATGGTCGAGGAAGAAGTAATTTACCTAGTTGAGTAACCCACGGACCTCCTGAGGGTGCGAACTGATGCGCAATTCGCATCGAAAAATTTGACCTCGGCGACCTATTATGCCTCAAAGTTGGCGGGTCTGGCGATCTCCGCCCACCGACCAGCTGATCACTCGCCGCAGATCTATACGTGGTGAGTGATTAGATAGGTGAGAGAGCGTAGCGTTGAAGAGGGCACAGCGATGATAGTCGCATCAATGCTCAAATCAACGGGCAAGGAAGGGTCCCATTTCTCGGGTTCTGGGCCGTTTCTCATGGTTCTTCCTTCTTTCGTGTACCACTCACCATCCCTGAGTTAATTTGAAATGGGTTGCCTTCCCAGCGTGAATTCGTCCTTTAAGTCAGTCCTCAAATTGAACTCACTAGGGGCTCTGGCACGTTACATCTAGCAGCAGTCTAACTATCAGAGAAGCTCTTATGAGCAACAGTTCAACTCTTCAATAAGTTTGGAATCACCACAGATGGAAAATTCGGAGGACTCGAAAGTTACAGTTACCACCAGGACAATTATCAGATGCAGAAACCAGCTCTCCCCTTGTCGACTTTCGTACTCCAAAATGAAAAAATTGATATGAAAACCCAGCCAGACACTCTAAAGACTCCACATCTGTAGTGGATAGAAAGCTCATTGAGTACTCTAACTTGGGACTTTTTACAGGACCGGTAGCCAGAGCAAAAGATCCCGTAAAAATCGAGTTTTTTCGAGTTCGTTGCTCATAAGAATTATAAATACATTGGAACCATCTAACGTATATCTCTAGATTTCTAATATTTTTACACCCTAAGAGGAAGGATTTAACTTTTAAGCTAATAGTCGTAACCTCCCACCAAGTTTGTTTCGTTCCCATCAAGCATACTGTGCGTCTTTAACAACACAATGTCTTGGTCCTCATAGTTTTGGCTAACCCTGTAAATTCCATTCGAGGTTGGTGCAGCACGTGTCACGAGCCCGTAGGTACGACATACTTTTCTAGCGTTCCTGCGCCAGACAGAGTAATGAATAGCCCAGAATATTTCTGTTTTTTGACTTCCTTTAAGCACTACGCATTACCAACTGTAAGACATGAAATGATAACTAACCGGCCAGCAGCGTTGTCTGACTGATCTCTCGTGGTCGTGTGACCCTGGAAGTTCACGTGGATTTGCCCTCTTGATGCTTTATTTTCGTCAGCATCACGAAGTTTCTTCGACATATCTTTTAGCTCACTGTTGCTTACGACGAACGCTGCAAAAAGATAACGATTGACCAAAGAATTGATTGTCTGAGTTCACCTCATTCTCATGAATTCGAACCTTGCCTTAGGTTAACTCAAATTTCACTGCGCACTAACATGATGTGAACTGATTTGTTTAGCGCACAATAAATTTTTGCTTATAAATATCCAGGCAGTGCAACTATTTCTTGGAGTTGAAGGCATGCCTACGATTAGGCGAGTAAAACGTTGCGGATAGGCTGAGAAGGAGCAGGGGTCGCAGGCGGGTAGGCGCCGATCAGTCGCCCACCGTTGCGATATCGCTCATCTGTCGTATCGCTAGTCGCTATGTTTCCCTGTTTCCGTCTGTTGTTACCTTTCCTCTCAATTTTGTCTCTCACCACACCACGTATTGCATCGCCTGTGGCTCCTGCTCTTTTTCAGCTCGTACGCAACTCTTCACCCACCTTATTGGTATGTGTCTTTAGGTCCAAGAAATAGCTCTCTCTGTATATGAATAAACTGTTTTATTGTATGCTGAACATTTTGGCTTCTGAATCACTATCTTACAATGTGAAAAATGTAGCCTTCATTTTAGTTGTTGTTCGACGGTTCTAGTTCCCCTTTTTCATATCTAACGGTCCACTTCGCATTCCTGTTTTTACATTCGAGCGAAGTTGCCACATCAACTTGATGGTGTAGTGTACCTTTAGGGTAACTCACAATGAAGATGCAATGAGGCTCACTAGAACTTCTGTAACTTAAAGGCGGAATTTACGCTGAAAAGGCAACCCATTTCAAATTAAGTTAGGGATGGTGAGTGGTACAAGAAAGAAGGAAAAACCATGAGAAACGGCCCAGAACCCGAGAAATGGGACCCCTTCCTTGCCCGTTGATTTCCGCATTGATGCGACTCTCATCGTGCCCTCTTCAACGCTAACGCTCTCTCTGCTATGTCGGTGGGCGTACCGCGCCAACTGCGCCAAGAGTGAGCCATGCTAGATCGCCGAGGTCAAATCTTTCGCTGCCAATTGCGCGTCGGTCCGCACCCTCAGGAGGTCCGCCTGTCTCCTAACTAGGAATTTTCCTCTCTGGCTCTTATCGTGGAATCCTCCTTTGAAGGGAAGCGATAGTACTGGCGTCCAGGCGGAGCTGAGTTCCACGCCTCCTCGCCGCCGAAGGACTCAAGATAAGAGCTGAGATAGGGAATAGTTGGACGAGCCCTACCCTAAGAAAGATGATACGGTGGGATATGGCGGCTTGGTATGAGGCTTAACTAGAACCACCTCCTTTAAGGCAACAACTGCAGTCAAAATTGGTAGGGTAACAGGCAACAGGTAACTGGTAATGATAGGATGGAAGAGACGCGTCAGTCTAGACGAGTTTTTTGAACGCAACCGCATCATTCGATGGGGATACCGTATCTGCCGACTACTTCTTAATCCACGTTGCTTGAGGGCGAGGTGTCTCATCCCTGGGGTTGTTGCTCACAGTGCTCAACCACTTCCTTCAAGTGCTGCTTCATGGGCATGATGAACGCTGACAGCTCCTGAGAGTT